CTGGGCACGGTGGCTCACGCCTGTAATCCTAGCACGTTGGGAGGCTGAGGAGGGTGGATCACGTCAGGTCAGGAGTTTTAGAGCAGCCTGGCCAATGTGATGAAACCCCATCTCTACTAAAAATTTAAAAATTAGCCGGGTGTGGAGGTGGGCGCCTGTAATCCCAGCTGCTCAGGAGGCTGAGGTAGGAGAATCACTTGAACTCAGGAGTCGGGGGAGTTGGAGGAGCTGAGATAGCAACGCTGCACTCCAGTCTGGGGGACAGAGCAAGACTCTGTGCCAAAAAAAAAAAGAAAAAAGAAATGTGGCTGCATTCTGTTCCTGTTTCTACTTCTATTCCAAAGATTGTTCTAGTCGGCCGGACGTGGCGGATCACCTGAGGTCGGGAGTTCAAGACCAGCCTGACCAACATGGTGAAACCCCGTCTTGAAAAAAAAAAAAAGATTGTTCTAGTCTACAAAGCTTAGAATTTACAAAGTGCCTTGGAGTCCACACAGTCCCTGAAATTTACGAAGGACCCACTGGACAGATGGGGAAACCGAGGCTGGGCAGGGCTTGTCTAAAGTCTTCATCCAAGGAGCCTCTCTCTCCCAGCCCTTCCCCACCCTCCCTGCCCCCAGTGACCAGAACTCACAGCTCGTCGGGATCACTTCTTCCTGTGTGGGCACAGCCTGGGAGACCGCAGGGCGGCAGGTCCTGGTGGAGGCTGGGCTCCTGGGGCTGTGTGTGGGGACCTGCTCGGGTACGGTCTCCTGGGAGGTCGTGTCGGGGGGCTCCGGGGAGGTCGTGTCAGGGGCCTCTGAGAAGGTCGTGTTGGGGGGCTCCGGGGCGGTCGTGTTGGGGGGCTCAGGGGCGGTCGTGTTGGGAGGCTCCAGGGAGGCTGGGCTGCGCAGGACTGGAAACAAAGTGGGGATGTTTTTCTCCCTGCTGCCCCAGGCCTGCCACTCCTGCCTCAGTCTCCACATCTGGACTAAGGGCTTGGACCAGAAACTCCCCAAGCCCCTTCCCTGGACCGCTCTGATGAATCACATTTCAATTTATTATTATTATTATTATTTTTGAGATGGAGTCTCCGTCTCTTGCCCAAGCTGGAGCGCAGTGGCACAATCTCAGCTCACCGCAGCCTCCATCTCCCCAGTTCCAGCGCTCCTCCTGCCTCAGCCTCCCGAGTAGCTGGGTTTACAGGCGTGCGCCACCACGCCCAGCTAATATTTTGTATTTTTAGTAGAGATGGGGTTTTGCCATGTTGACCAGGCTGGTCTCGAACTCCTGACCTCATGATTCACCTGCCTCAGCCTCCCAAAGTGCTGGGATTACAGACGTGAGCCACTGCGCTGGCTCTTTGTATTTTTTTTGAGTTGGGGCCTCACTCTGTCACCCAGGCTGGAGTGCAGGGGTGCAATCATGGCTCACTGCAGCCTCCACTCCCAGGCTCAAGACATCCTTCCCACTTAGCCTCCTGAGTGGCTGAGACCACAGGTGCGCAATACCACACCCAGCTAATTTTTAATTTTCTTTGGTAGAGAGTTGCGTGCCTCGGCCTCCCAAAGTGCTGGGATTACAGGCGTGAGCCTGGCCTAAAGCCTATAATTTATAAAGGGCTTTGAAATCTACATGGTCTCACCGGGTGCTGTGGCTCACGTCCGTGATCCCAGCACTCTGGGAGGCCAAGTTGGGCAGATGACGAGGTCAGGAGTTCGAGACCATCCTGGCTAACACGGTGAAACCCCGTCTCTACTAAAACTACAAAACATTAGCTGGGCATGGTGGCGCATGCTTGTAATCCCAGCTACTCGGGAGGCTGAGGCAGGAGAATTGCTTGAACCCAGGAGGCGGAGGTTGCAGTGAGCCGAGATAAGACTCTGTCTCACACACACACAAAAAAAGAAATCTACATGATTCCTGAAATTTACAAAGGACCCACAATCAGGGAAGTCCACTGGACAGATAGGGAAACTGAGGCACCACGGTGAGCAGGATGGGAGTCCGGGCACTCCAGGGCCCCCCTCACTGGCAGCATCACCCCAGGAGGCTCCTGAGTCTCCATGTGCCTCAGTTTCCTCAACTGTGAAAGGAGCAACAGTCACCTCTTTGGGCTGCCCTGGGAGTGAGTGGGGAGTGGGTCACGTGTGTGTCCAGGGCACAGGCTGAGTGGCTTCTGCGTTTATGATGATGGGATGTGGAAGGAGCAGAGTTGAGAGGAGGGTGCGTGGAGAGAGGAGGTGCCTGGGGGCTCTCTGCTCCTTCCTCTGTGGGACTGATGGACAGACTGAGGCCTGTGAGCGCCTGTGTGCTGTAAAATACCCCTCAGATCCAGCCTCCTCTCTGCCCCCCCCAGCCCCACCCCCAGCACCAAGGCCTCCGGGTCTCCCAGCTTCTGCTCCATTCCCCCGGGAGCCCTGTGCGTGAAACTCACGACCTCACACATGTTAGCTTGGGTATTGTGGTGCCTCACGGGGGGACAAATCCCTCTATCTTTAGTGGGAGAAGCCGTCAGGGGCTTTGGGGCAGGGCATGAAGGGAGCATCTCCTGGGCACCAGCCCATGTTAAGCGTCTTCATCCAGGCTGGGCACAGGGGCTCAGGCCTCTCATCCCAGCCCTTTGGGAGGCCCAGGTGGGCAGATCACAAGATCAGGAGTTCCAGACTAGCCTCGCCACTATGGCGCACCCTGTCTCTACTAAAAATACAAAAAAATTAGCTGGGTGGTGGCGGGCGCCTGTAGTTCCAGATACTCGGGAGGCTGAGGCAGGAGAATCGCTTGAAATGGGGAGGTGGAGGTTGCAGTGAGCCAAGATCATGCCAGCCTGAATGACAGTGCACGACTGTTTCAAAAAAATAAAACAAAACAAAACCCTTAAACCTTCATTGTGCATTCAGCAAGGGTTTATTGAGCACCTGCTATGCACCAGGCCCTGCTCTAGCTTCTGTGGACATAGGCGTGTCCAAGACACAGATTTCCACCTTGGGAGCCAACAGGGGGAGACGGTCATGGAAAAATCAGAGAATGTATGGGCTTGGGGGATGTCAGATGCTATAAAAGGTGTCAAGAGGCGGCTTGGTGGCTCACGCCTGTAATCCCAGCACTTTGGGAGGCTGAGGTGGGTGGATCGCCTGGGGTCAGGGGTTCAAGACCAGCCTGAACAACATGGTGAAACCCTGTCTCTACTAAAAATACAAAAATTAGTTGGGCATTCTGGCGGGCACTTGTAATCCTAGCTACTCGGGAGGCTGAGGCAGGAGAATTGCTTGAACCTGGAAGGCAGAGGTTGCGGTGAGCCGAGATTGTGCCATTGCACTCCAGCCTGGGTGACAGAGCAAAACTCCAACTCAAAAAAGAAGAGAAAAGGTGTCAAGAAACAAAACAGACGGGAAAGGGTGCTCACAGGTGCGTGCGTGCGTGCGTGCATACGTCCGTACATGTTAGGGGCTGGGGGTTGACCCTTTGAACAGGAATTCAGGGAGCCTCAATGAGGAGGCAACATTCACGCAGAGACCTGGGGGTGAGGAGGAGGGAGCCATGGAAAGATCTGGAAGAAGGGTATTCCAGGCAGAGGGCATGGCCATGCAAAGGCCCTGGGGCAGCCTGGCATGCTGGAGGAACAGTGAGGAGGCCCCTGTGGCTGGAGCAGAGTGAGGAGGGGGACACCAGCAGAGGGAGGGGAGGGAGGGCACAGGGCAGGTGGCGCAGGTTCCTGTGGGCCATGGAGGGGACACGGGCTTTGACGCCAAGGCAGGAGCCTTGGAGGGCTGTGGGCAGGAAGGGGTGGGACCTGGGCTGGGGGCGGATGCTCGGCATACATGTTGAGTTGATGAGTGTTGCTCTGGCTGGGTCCGGGTATCCAGTCCCCCCAGGGTCCCACAGCACAGGTGCTGACCCCCGGAGTGCTTGTCAAGGCTCCGTGGGCCTGCCTGTGCCCGCTTCCCCAGCAGTCTCACCGGGGATGGCCTGGCGGTGACTGAGCTCCAAGCCGGGCAGCCTCATCGTGGCCTGGCAGTGGAGGGCAGGTGGGGCAGGGGTCCCCAGGGGCGGCAGCCGCCAGCGCTGTGTCACCCTGAACAGCACGTCCTCGTCCTCTTGGGGCTCGTCCTCGTCCTCTTGGGGCTCATCCTCCTCCACGTCCACCTCCAGGTCCAGGGCCTCCGCCCCCTCCAGCTCCCGGCCCCCCAGGAGCAGGGAGAAGGAGAGCACGTCGGGGTCCGCGGGCGTGACCTTGTGCGCGGAGCAGGCCACCTCCCGGTCAGCAGGCCCCAGGGCTGCCGGGGAGACGGTCAGCTGGTCCGGGAAGGCTGCCATGAAGGGTCGGGGTGAGGGTGAGCCCAGAGTCGGGGCTGTGCAGGATGGACGCAGGGGCTTGGGGCTGGCCATGGAGGCGTGCGGGCTGCTGGTGAGCAGGCGGGGGCCTGGAATACACCCCGCGGGGGGCTGGAATACACTGGGGGAGGGGCCGGGGCCGCCCGGGGTTGGGGTGACTTGGGGGGAAGCGCAGGCTGGGTCTGGGCTGGGGAGCTGCGCATCGAGCTGGGACAGGGTCTGCAATCCGGGGGGGCTTCCCGGAAGCCGTGGCACAGGGAAGGGGCCGCGAGTCCGAGGGTCGGAGGGAGGCGGGGGTGGGGGGGCCTCACCGAACACGAGGAGCCGCACGACGTGCTGGAAGGTGAGGCCCCCGCAGGAGCCCACGCACACGCGGGTCCCGGCCGCCGACAGTGAGGCGTTGCGCACGGTGAGGACGCTGCGGCCCGCGTCCGACCGCACGGCGCCCAGGCTGGTGTCCAGGCCCCGCCACTGCACCGCGGCCGCGCGGCCCGCGCAGGTCAGACGGCAGGTGAGCTGCAGCGACGCGCCCCGGGCCACAGCCACCACGGGATCTGGGGGCTCCACCTGCAGGGGCTGGGCTGCGGCGACCGCGCCCCGACTCAGCCCGGGACCCCCGCCCCGGTCCCGGACCCCGCACCCCGCACCCCGCCCCCGCCCCGG